TATAATGACCGCAAGCGGTCAGTCCTCAGCGCTAGTTAAGCCATGTGCGGGCCCCAGTGCGCACTGAGGGGGTAGTGTCGATCGGTGGTGCTTGGCCGCTCTTATATAGCGGTGATGTTGCTTTCCGCGCACGAATAGATGATCAACCGTTTTGGCCATCTCGTGGCGAGCGCGTGAATCACTCCCGTGCGCGGGCCCACAGTGTCGGCGCGCGGCAGCGCGGCGGCGCACGCCGGCGCGCTCGTCACTGGGCCAGAGTGGCAGTGACCGCCATAGAACCCTCCCGTGAGTGATGGAGTCCATTACGTGATGTATCATTGTGGGAAACGGACTCGTCTTCCCGATCGGGTAGTGGTCTCTGGTAGTTGCTCGTGCCATTGGTTGCGGTGTTGTTGGTGGCTCCGAGACGACGCTGTTTTCTAGTTGAGCGTCTTCTTGCTTGAGGATGTACGCCGGCTTAAGGCGGTCGATTGAGACGGTGGTTGGGTTGTCTCGGACCTGTAATTGGTAGATCTTGTTAATTCGACTCACCACTTTATAGGGTCCTTCGTACGGTGGCTGAAAGATGCCCTTGGGTCGTGCCGGAGAAAAACGAAGTCGCATGTCCGCAAGTCTTGGTGCACGAATGGTTGTTGCGCAGAGTGGTTAGATCCTTCTATCGGGCGTAATGCGTCAGTGAGTAGCCGCAGTGCCCTGAGTCAATCAGCTTCGGCCTCTGGTTGTGGGTTGCTCGATTCGGTGAGGAATTGTCCAGGTAGGCGTAGGGATTCCCCGTATATCATCTCCGCGATGGTAGTGTGGAGATCTTCCCTGAAAGTTGCTCGTATGCCAAGAAGGATAGTTGGCAGTTCTTCCGTCCATCGCGGATTGGCTCTGCAGCGGATGGCAGCTTTGAATTGACGGTGGAAGCGTTCCACCATGCCATTGGCTTGTGGATGGTATGCTGTAGTGCGATGATGTGTGGTACCAGTAAATGCAGCCAATTGGTTGAAGAGCTGTGACTCGAACTGCCTTCCCTGGTCAGTTGTGATTCTCAGGGGAGTGCCGAATCGACAGATCCACCCGTTGTAAAAGGTGCAGGCAACTGTTTCTGCTTCTTGATTGGCTATGGGGAAGGCCTCGGGCCACCGAGTAAATCTATCCACGCAAGTGAGACAGTATCTCTGGCCTTGCAATACTGGTAGGATAATGATGTCGAGGTGTATGTGCTCGAACCGTCTGCTGGGAGGTTTGAATGTTCCCCATGGGCTGTTTGTGTGTCTGGTGACTTTTGATTTCTGGTACTCCAGGCATGTTTTCGCCCAATTGCGGATGTCTTTGTTCATGTCTGGCCACACGAATCGTTGAGCAATTTAGTTGTTGCCTTGATTCCTGGGTGCGCTAGTTGATGTACTGTCAGGAATGCCGTTCGCCTGAAGTCTTTAGTGAGGACGTGGTGTGTCTGTTTGCGTATCGCACCATAATTGCAGCGCAGTCCCAGGTATTTTGACTTTTTGAAGTTGTTTTTGAAGTTGAACCCGTGTTTGTTGGTTTTGAAATCTTCTATTTCCGGATCGGTCTCTTGTGCGTCCGCTAGTGTAGCGAAGTCGATCACCGATTGTATGGCTTCTAATCTGGATCATGGTGTCTGCGGCTATGTTTTTGCTGCCAGTTACATACTCTATTCTGGTTGTGAATTGGCTGATGTAACTGTCGGAACTGCCTTGGTGTACATTTGTCCGGTTTTTGTCGGAAGGCGAATGTAAGAGGTTTGTGGTCCGTGTATATGACGAAGTCTTTGGCTTCAATCATATGCCGGAAATGCTTGATCACCAAGTAGATAGCCAGTAGTTCTCTGTCAAAAGCACTGTAACGAGTCTCGGGGAGAGAATTTCTTGGAGAAGAAAGCTAGTGGTTGCCAATCTTCCTCCTGTTTCTGCTGAAGGGCTGCTCCGACGCTAGATTCTGATGCGTCGGCGAAGATTGCTAGTTTAGCGTGCCCGTTCGAATGTGCTAGTAGTGTGGCTTGCGTCAGGTCTGTTTTCGACTGTCCGAATGCTTGATATTGAAGAACTTAAATCATGGCGTGAAGCGCCACATGATATAAACTTAGTTTTTTGCTACATTTGTAAAATATATATTGTTGCTTGTTTATCGGCTATTTATTGACATGCAAATTTAGCAATGCATAAATGTAATATAGAAGGTATTGTTAATATATGTGATATTAATGAAGATAATGAAACATTTTTGACATTTGATGAGTGGAAAAAGTCAGCAGAGATTCAATATGCTGCATTGATTGCTGACAAAAATATTTCCCTTGACACTGCACAAATAATTCTCTTAATTTTTTTCAGAATATAGGAAAAGAGCCTAAGGTATTAAAAAGTATGAAGATAGGTCGCATAAAATATATTCGAAAATAATTTCGAATGTTTTGTGCCCTGTGGAGACTGATCGTGTAGTAGAAAATATTAAAAACACGAAATTTTCAGTCTTTATTGATGATCAGATATCTCGAATGAAAAATGGATGACATTTTTCGTTCGATATGTCAATTTTGAAACTTTAGATATTCATTCGTTAATCAAATTAATTGATGTCGATGCAAAAGATTGTAGTTCGAAAAAGTTGTTTAATGCCTTTAAAATGGAAATGTGGAAACTGCAAATTTTATTTTCAAATATTATTGCCTTGTCATGCGACAATGTGTCTGTAATAACAGGGAAACATTTATCATTTAAAAAAAAGCTTGAAGAAATGTCTAAAAATTTATTGATGCTTCCATGTTCATGTCATTCTGTTGCATTGGCTGTACATGTTCTAAAATATCTGTGAGGAATTTTGTGAGAAATTAAAAAAAAAATTCCTAGTTATATCAATAGCAGTCCAAAGCGATTTTCCAATTTTCGCGAGTTTTCCGAATGTTTTCAGGAATCGAGTCATAAAATTTTAAGATTATCAGATTTAAGATTACGCGCTGGCTTTCTTATCACTCATGTGTTGAAAGAATTTTTTTTTCTTGGAATACTATTAAATATTTTTTAATTGACATGTTTGTAAAAAAAGTGAGCCGGGAAAGTATCTATTGTCTATAATGCAAAACATAGACATAAAAGCGTATCTATTGTTCTTAAAGCATAACATATAATAAACATTTGTAATGTAGACCATAAATGAAAAATCAAACTGGATAGAATAATCATTGAGGAGAAGAGTGACATAATTAAGAAACTATTATATGATATCACATATAATATTTATTAAAATAAATTCATTTTTGTTTTATTAATTCTGCTCATATTATCAATTCTGCAATTCATTCATATTAAAATTGCTTATTTTTTTCCCAATAGACATGCTCTATGTATGCAAGAATAGCGAGCGATAACCGAGAAACATTGGAAACGCTCGAAATCGTACGGCGCGTCGAGGGAGAGAGAACGGTAGTATCTTCTTCTCGTAACGCGTTGAGCACGAGAAAGTATAATAGCATTTCTATCCTATTCTCGCAGCGCGTCGAACGCGAGAAAGTATGGTAGTATCTCTATTCTCCTCGCGCTCAATGCGCTGCGAGCGAGATAGTACAATAGTATGTCTATTTTCCTCACGCAGTGCTTTAAACGTGAAAGAATAGGATAGTATTCCTATTCTCTTTTATCATTCGAAGGTAGTCGAAACGTCGAGCGCACATGGATGTGACTCGTATTTTCTGTGCGTGTTTTGCGCTCTCCTCACTACCGCCTCACCACCGATGCTGCCGTGATGCAAGATGCCATTTCTGGCAGCTCTGCTCAGGCGACCGTGAATGCCGCATAATCCGCCCGTCTCCGGGCGACCTTCTCCGGGCCACGATCTCTGCGCGGCCGTCATCGCAGCGTCATTGTTCGTACTGGGAGGAGTCACTATCATCACATCATGCCGATCTCAGTTTACCTTCGGCCTTAGCTGTAAGATGCAGCCGCAACAAGGCTTCTTCGTCGCCCGAGCGACCGCCATCGCCACATATCGCCGCCAGACCGCGTGTCTCCTCCCGCATCGGAGGACTCGGGCAATCCGACACTCGCCGCACTTCTCGTCAACTTAAGGAGCGATTCCTAAAGCTGTTCGATTCGGCCTCCTCTCTTGAGTGTAGCTCGTCGAGATCAAATCCTTTGCACAGGGAACTAGCAGTATTAGAGCGGCCACCCACTCTCGGCCATTCCTTGAAGTTTGATTCTCTCGAGGAAAGACCTTAGCGTCTATTCACCATAGAATTAGGCCCGAGCCACACTCAGCCACCGCGGCACGACACTTGCCGCTTCTTCTCTGAGGCCGCGTCACAAACTGAGGATCTTCCAACTGTCAGCACCCAATCGAGCGTTTATCCAGCTCGCTCACGACGAGGAGAAGCCGGTGCCAGAAAAAAACGCCGGGAGAGACTACAGGAGCTTCCACGCCTGCGCGCAGAACGAAACGATTATGACGCTTCCACAAAATTCTCGCGCGGAACACATTAACACTTGTATATTTTAGATCATATATAGCATGACTTGTGTTTTTAATTACGGAGTTAAAGGTTATTGAGTATGTATACAACCTTCCTATCCCTACATCCCTCACCTAAGATAAGCTTGTGCTACCGCTATTGCGAACCCTGCGAGATATTGCGATATACTTGTTGCTCATTCTCTGCTTTGCTTGATCATTTAACGTTTGCATTGCTGGCCTTCTACATAACTGATCGAAGACAGGACCTCCAAAAGGAGACATTGGCAACCACTTGCCTTCATCAGCCAACTACGGACCAAGCTAGACACACTCGTAGCATAACAAGCACACAATCACATTCTCCTTTCGCACAAACATTCTCTGCACTCTCTCTCTCTCTCTCTCTCTCTCTCTCTCTACTCTCTACTCTCTCTCTCTCTCTCTCTCTCTCTCTCTCTCTCTCTCTCTCTCTCTCTCTCTCTCTCTCTCTCTCTCTCTCTCTCTCTCTCTCACTCTCTCTGTGACTCTCCTTTGGTCCTCACAAATACACCCACACACCATACGGTAATTCTGTAAAATAATAAAAATTACAGTATTTAATAAATCACGCATGGCATATTTGCTGCATACTTGAATTTTGATTTTAATGTCGTTTCCAATTTTGTTTTATTTTATATATATGATACACTCGTTTTTTAAATAATAAAATTATAGAAGAATAATCCTTTTCTTTTAAATTGCGAGTTCTCGAAGAAATATGATATTTATTTAATAATTATTTAATAATTTAATAATTATTTTGAACAATAATATGTTAACAATAAATGTTTTGCGACTAATAATAAATGGTTTTGTATAAGTAGGCGGTTCGTGTTGTTTATACTTATTTCATTTAAGTTCCTTGTTCTTTCTTTTTCCATCGCCATAAATATATTCTGCTTTAAATATTGAAAATTCTAAGCAACGCGAACCTAATATTGGAATCATTATTCTTTTTAGAAATATGATGTGATATTCCGCAAATACGATTAAATTATTCAAAAACAAACAAAAAAATATTAATTAGCGAAATATTCCCCGTTTGCATCAACGACCTTTTGCCATCTTTCGGGTAGCTTGCGAATTCCTTGACGATAGAAGTTCACTGGCTTCGAAGCGATAAAGTCATCAATGCATTTTCGTATCTCTTCAAATCTCACGAAATGTGTATGAGCCAAATGATGCTGCAGCGACCGGAATAGGTATATTAATCAGAAGGCGCCATGTCTGGGCTATACGCCGCGTGCGGGAGAAGTTCCCAGCCTAACGCAAAGATATGGTCCTGAGTCGCTTTCGCAACATGTGGTCGAGCATTGTCATGAAGCAAGATCACTTTATGACGTCCTTGGTCAGTAAATGGCCTCTTTTCTTTTAATGCATCGCTCAAATTGATCAATTGTTGTTGGTAGCGGTCTACCGTGATTGTTTCACCCGGTTGTAACAACTCGTAATACAACACATCTTTCCAATCCCACCAGATACAGAGCAAAACCTTCTTGGCGTGGACATTGGGCTTTGGCATCGATGTCGAAGATTGACCAGGGTCAATCCATGATTTTCTACTCATGATTTTAGGGTTATCATAAAAAATCCACTTTTCATCGCCCGTAATGATTTTATGCAGAAAATTTTTTTTCCGGAATTTTGAAAGCAAAGTGATTGCAGTCACGCCGACGATTTTTGTTGTCTTCGGACAATTCATGCGGAACCCATCTGCCTTCCTTTTGAACCTTTCCCATCGTATGTAAACGTATGTAAACGTATGGAAATGATTTACTGCGTAACGCCAAGCTGTTCTGCAAGCTCCTTTTCAGTTTGCGCAGAGTTTATATCC